GTTTAACTTGTTCCGAGCACCATGTTGGGGAAAACAGTTCGAGCGGCTGGTAGGAATTGTTAAACAAGCAATGTATACGGCAATTGGAGGCGCAAATCTGAAGTGGGAAGAACTGTGTGAAGTGATACTTGACGTTGAACTGCAAATCAATAGAAGACCGCTCAGTTATGTTGAAGACAATGTTCAATTGCCGGTGTTGACACCCGAGCTCTTTTTATCCAGAGAGCCAATCATCTGCCAGAACAGAATATATGGGTTGAAAGTGATTCAGACGTAAGAGGGCAAGATATTTGAAATCTTGCAAATAAGCCTTGTAGAAAAGATGGTCGAAAGAATACCTTACTGCACTGCGAGAACGGCATAATATGAGTCATGGGACTAAAAAGTTCATTGTAAACGTTGGAGACGTAGTGCTGATCAAATCCAACGAAAAGAATAGAGAGAAATGGCCTCTTGGGATCATTATAGAGACATATTCTGGAAGAAATCGAGTGATACGTGGGGTAATGTTGAAAACGCCAAATAGATACCTAGAAGGACCAGCTCAATTGCTTTACCCAATGGAATTAGCTTGTGATCAACAGAGCCATGAATAGAGACCTTATCTTAATCCAGACGCTCAACCATTCAAGCCAAAGCGTAAGGCAGCTGAAAATGCAGCGGGGGATCATCAAATCGATTGCTGACGAAGAAAACGAAGAGATTTGAAACGCTCCCTAGATCAGCAATCCATATAGATATACATCTTATCTTCACATGTTCAGGGGGAGTGTGTTGGAAATAAGTTATTTTATTTGATTGTCCTAGTGACAGAGAGACAAATTCCCCTTAATTATTATAATTTTTGTCAACCAATAGACTTTGCAAAATTTTGAGTGATGTTTTGTTGTGAATGGGTTGAAGATATAGTCAGAGTGAGTGAGCAATATATATGTGAGATAAACATTGCAAGAGAATAAAGTTCTTTATTCACCAGGCTTGAGTTAATGCATCCATTCGACATAATCAATGGAATATTGCCTGGGCGACAAGCAAGATTCACAAAAGATCTTTAAGATTATGTTGACTGTTTTTGGTTGACAATTCAGAATATGTTTACAGAAGATTTGTAATTTGTATAAGACGAAACAAATTAAAGAAAAAAGTAAAATTTGTACACGTCTTGATAAAAGCCATGTTACAAAAGTAAAATTATTTCACATAATGATATGCATATCTATCATTTTTTGACGTGTCCTTATTTTGACTCATCTTGTCAATTTGTAGCTTCTACATACAAATAATATTTAAATAAACTTTTTCAATGTGTAGTTTATTTTAATGTGAGAAAGGTCGGTACTTTGCAATGGTAAAATGTCCAAATAAATTACCTTTTGTTTAAAAATTTCATCAAAATTAACAAAAGTTGTCCGTATAACACATGCGTAGTACTAAAATTATTGATATAAGTCATTTGTGACAGATTACATCAAAACAGACCAATACAGATAGAATTTAAGATCAACATACCTTGGCAAATTAAGAAACCTTAAAGACGACACAACCAACTACATGATGTCTTTGCTTTTGCTTCATAATAAAGAAATTGGAATGTTTATTAGATGCTTGATTTTAATCACCTGCTGTTTCAATTGTAAAATATTGAATTCTGTTCATACCCAACAGAATATGAATTGCAAATTTTTATTTTAGCTATGACTGAAGTAAAACAAAGAAGTTTTTACTTGTAAGCTTTATGCCAATAAACCTTTCACAGTTTACTATTATTTATTTCAATTATTGAACATCCTGACTTACATGCAAACTAACTGAAATAATCATAAAGGAAGACAGGACAGCCAGCTGTTTACAAATAGGATAGCTCAAAAATTAAAGATTTATACCTTAGGAAGTTAAGAAAATCGATAAATATAGCTTCTTTAAAACTGTTAGTGTTCCAACTTTGAAACGTGGTCAATGAAGTTTTGTCATTTTGTAAACTTTTGATCCAGATAAACAAATAATTTGATCAGGGGCATGAGAAGCATGTAAAAGTTGGAGAGATGAACTTTTTAGGGGGGGGTCTTTATTTAAAAAGGGAATTTCAGAATAATTAACCTCGAAGTTTTTACTTTCGAATAATTTTCTCACATCTCTGTAATCAGAGATACTTCAAAAGTGATAGCGTTTGGACTTGACAGTTTATCATGCAAAGTTTTGTCATTTTGTGAACTTCTGACGCAAACAAATATTTTAAATACTCTATATTACAACAAATTTAACAATTATGGACGAGAAAAAAATCACGTGTACTATCACGTGAAGAAGTGAGCTTTTCTCTCAAAGTAGGCGCAATTTCTAAAGACATACTTAGTAAAACGTTTTTATGTCATCATCTGTGTTATGAATAAGATATGAATGGGGAAAAAATTCTTGATAACAGCCATGTCTAGATAAAATTTAAATTATTGCACATATTGATATGAAGTAAATGGTTTGAACCCGGGAGCGTCGTTACATGTTTGTAAATGTAGATCGTCCAGGTTGGTATAGTCCTGAGAAGGACTGTTTTTGTATTTGCTGATTGACGTTTCGATAACCTTAGTGGGTAGTCATCTTCAGAGTAAACGTCAGGTAAGCCGTATTTGTTATCTGCTTCTTACGTCATTGTATTGTGTGTACAGGTAATATGTGGGTGTGAATTGTGTATTGTATTAGTGATTTGGTTAGCACTATTTTCCACCCAGCTAACCGCCCTTTACTTTGAAATATAATATTTTACACAATCGGAAATAAATTAAAGATGGCGGCTAATGGGAAAGAACCAAAAGCTAAAAGGAAACCATGCATGCACTGGTGCTAGGTCGCTTTGAGATGGCGAGTAATTTTATATTTTTATAATACAGTTTTTAATATCAACGTATGAAAATATTTACAGATAAATATTGCAGTATAAATTGTCATGCAACCACCTTAAGTTATAAACTTATAATCCAGGCTGTAAAATATGTCGTTTTTCGACGATTGTGTAAAATATTATATAAAATATTATATTGTGTAAAATATTAGATTGTGCAAAATATTATATTGTGTAAAATATTATATTTCAAAGTAAAGGGCGGTTTGCTGGGTGGAAAATAGTGCTAACCTAGTGATTTAGTGTGAAGTGTAATGTTTTTAGTTGATCGTTTGTTTATATTGTGAATAAGTCGTTTGTCTCTCTTCTCTTGGCTTGGCTTCGCAAACGAAGATTTTATGAAGGGGGCTGTCCACGTCGACTACAGGCACGCTCGTGGCTGACAAGTCCGATGCGAGACAAACAGGTTCGGTCGCAGCGGCTACAGTCAAAGGTCACGTCAGGTACGGCTGCTGAAGCTTCCCGGTTCTTCCTCAGGTTCTCTGTACGAGAGTCCTCAAAGGAGGAGACAGCCTGGTGGACAGTACGACGCCAGGCATCACGGTCAGCAGCAGGGACTTCTTCAGAGAGTCTTTGTAGCGTTTCTTCGGGGCCCTCTGTCACGGTGGCCAGTGGAAAGTTCGCCATACAAGGCAATTTTGGGCAGGAATTGATCATCCATTCTGGAAACGTGCCCTGCCCAACGTAGCTGCGACTTCATTAGCATGGCCTCGATGCTGGTGATCTCCGCCTGTTTGAAGACCTCAACATTGGTGACGTAGTCACTCCAGTGAATGTTGAGGATGGTGCAGAGACAGCGGTGATGGAAACGCTCAAGGAGGCGTAGGTGGTGACGGTAGATTACCCACGACTCGGAGCCGTACAAGAAGGTGGTGAGTACGACGGCTCTGTACACGCTGATCTTGGTGCCCTTCTTCAAAGAATTGTTGTTCCACAATCTGTTATACAGTCTGCCAAAAAGCGCTGCTTGCCTTGGCCAGTCTGTTGTCGACCTCCCTGTCGAACTTCCTATCTGATGTGATAACACACCCCAGGTAGGTGAACTGGTGAACGCTTTTCAGCTCAGTCTCGCCGATGGTAATGTGAGGAGGGCGGTACTCTACCCAAGGTGCGGGCTGATGGAGGACTTCCGTCTTTTCAAGCTGATCTCAAGTCCGAATAGCTGGACAGCCTCTGCAAAACAGGACGTGAGGCGCTGCAAGGCTCTTTCGGTATGGGCAACAAGGGCAGCGTCGTCGGCAAAGAGAAGGTCTCGGATCATCTGCTCATGGGTCTTTGTAAGGGCTTGCAGCCTCCTGAGGTTGAACAGGCTGCCGTCAAGGCGATAGCGAATGTAGACAGCTTCGTCATCGTCAAGGTCTTCTGTGGCTTGCCTAAGCGTCATACTGAAGAAGATGCTGAACAGAGTCGGAGCCAAGACACAACCCTGTTTCACGCCGTTGACGATAGGGAAGGGTTCTGAAAGGGTGCTGTTCAACCTGACTTGGCCGCTTTGGTCTTCATGCAGCTCGGTGATAATACTGAGGAACTTTGGGGGGCATCCGAAGCGTTCCATCATGAGCCAAAGTCCCTTCCTGCTCACTGTGTCGAAGGCCTTCGACAGGTGTAGAGTCCTTTGTTCTGTTCCCGAAAGCAGAGTGATCCCCCGGTAGTTGGAGCAGACTGACTTTTCCTCCTTGTTTTTGTACAAGGTAACGATGACTGCATTACGGAGGTCTCTTGGAAGCTTTCGTTGTTCCCAACAACAGACAAGGAGTTCGAGGAGCTTTCTGTGTAACGCTGGGCCTCCATATTTCCAGATCTCTGGTGGGATGCCATCAACTGCTGCTGCCTTGCCACTCATAATCTTCTCTATGGCTTCTGTGAGTTCCTTCATAGAGGGTGGTTCGTCCAATTCCACTATAACTGGGAGCTGAGAGATGCGGAGGATTGCTGAGTCCTGAACGACTCGATCAGCACTGAAGAGGGCGTGGAAGTGCTCGGACCAGCGACTCAGAATAGACGCCCTGTCTGTGAGGAATGTTACGAACGTCCCGACTAATAATAAAATGGCCGCTTTTGGTTCAATTGCTCGTAACAAAAGGAGTAAAACCTTGTGGAGAAGTTGTTGTCAATTCTTAAAATATTTATTTAATATACTAATAATTTTGATATAATCGTTATAACATAAATGTGTAAATGTTCAAACTTATCTAGACAACTGCTTTCAGACTTTCAGTGACTCTTTCGTTGATGGATAGGATATATATCTGTATTCTTCGATTCTTTTCTTAAATAGTTCGTCTTCTTTTACATGAGCTTTCTTCTCATGTGGACTTATACTAAGCACCAACATAACTACAACGTTCGGTTTTCGGCTTATATATGATTGCACAATGACGTACGAGTAACCGCTTGTGCGTAAACTGTGGTCAGTTGATTAACCATGTATCCTGTAAGTTGTTTGTGGTCAGTAGGTTGACCACGTCCTATACGTAAGCTTTCCTGTTATTGTGGTTAACATACACATGCATGTATGAGTAAGGCATTTTACTAATTAGTTAACTAATAATATATTTAAATATATAACAATAATAAGTATAATTTACATGATTATGTATTATCATGTAACAGGAGCGCCTCGCCATCCGCACTGCGCAAAGGACTCTGGGCGTGGTGCGTAGGGCCGTACACTGCCTTAAGGGCTTCGTAGAAGACTCTGTAGTCACCAGCGTCTGCGCATTGCTGAGTTCGTTCTGCGAGGTTGATCCACCACTCGTTCTTAATCTCTCGAAGCTTGCGCTGGAGGTTGCTGCAAGTGCAACGCTTTGCAGCTTTCCTCACGGGACAGGACGGCTGAGCCAGGTGAGCCTGGTGGGCTGATCTCTTCTTAGCAAGCAATTCCAGGATCTCCTTGTTGTGTTCGTCAAACCAGTCTTTGTTCTTTTTAGTGGTGAGCCCCAAGACTTCTTCTGATGTCTACAATATGGCTCTGTCAAATGAAGCCAAAGCGAATCAGGTGAGGGATCTTCTGGGCAGCCGTTGTTTTCAAGCTTGAACTGCAAGCACGAATGGAATTCAACTCTCACTACAACTGATTGTAGCCTACTGAGCTTGAACATTTTCTTTGGGTACCCTCCCTTTCTTGTTTTAGGTTTGAAGTGAAGTTTGAGTTTGCAGCGCACGAGGCGATGGTCAGTGTGACATTCTGCGCTGGGCATCACTCTGGTGTGTAAGACGTCTTGGAGGTCTCGTTGGCGCACTAGAACGTAGTCAATAAGGTGCCAGTGTTTGGACCGAGGATGCATCCAGGTTGTTTTCAGACTGCCCTTTTGTTGGAAGATGGTGTTGGTGACGGCACGTTGCTGCTCCATGCAAGTCTCCAGCAGCAAGCCTCCGTTTTCGTTGCAGATACCAACGCCATGTCTGCCAAGCACTCCTTTCCAGGCAACAGCGTCTTGTCACACTCTGGCGTTGAAGTCGCCAAGGATTATCACCTTATCGTCTACGGAGGTATTTCAAAGAACTCTGCGGAGCTCTGAGTAGAACTTGTCTTTTTCTGCAGGCACAGCTTGAAGAGTTGGGACATACACACTGAAGAGCGTGGCATACATTTTGTTCTTCAGAGGGAGGCGCATGGACATGATGCGGTCAGAATAGCCAGTTGGCAGGTTTTCAAACTTGGAAGCAATGGAGGTTCTAACCATGAAGCCGACGCCTGTGAGACGCCTTTCTGTTGCAGGTTTTCCTAACAAGAAGAGAGTATATTCTGCGCCATGCTCCTGAAGGCTGCCTTCTTCGGGGAAGCGAATTTCGCTGAGGCCAGCAATGTCGACATCTAGCCTGGAAAGTTCATGTGCAATCAAAGCAGAGCGACGTTCAGGTCTGTTGCTGTCAGCTTTGTCAAGCATGGTTCTGATGTTCCAACATGCCAGCTTCAGTGCTTTTGCACCCATACCGGTGAGTGCGTACGTTCCTTTCTTTGTTGTTGTTTGACCGCTAGAAAAGATGCCCGTTGACCACGGCAAGCCAACTGGGGGGAAGAGAGACGAGCTTTGGTTAGGCCACCTTTTCTAGGCCCCTCTCCTTGTGGAGCAAGCAGTGCTGTCCCTAAAAAGGGCTGCTTGGTCGTTCGGGGTGCCTCCGAGTGATGTTGTCATCTCGGGTCAACGTCAAGCGACCAATATCCCGAACCGCCTGCATGCAGGATTGAGACTGCGACTTCCAGTGACATTTTTCACCTGCCGGTTCGCCCCTTTCCCATCGCTACAGGACTTAGTAGAGTTGAAAGCGTCGCATACGTGAACGTATCCTTCGAGCCTGCGCAGATGAGTTTTAAGGTGAAGTGCAGTGTGCGCAGTACTGGCCCCACCCTTTACACCCGGGTTCATCTGTCATGGCCCAGCGAGCTGGGACGGTGACAGCGAGATCCACGGGTCGTAGGTTTTACATCAGAATGTCCTTGTCCTAGCCTCTGGCTCAAAAACCTACCTCGGAGGCACGAGGACATGATGGCCGTTGAGCTCGTCGTGGAGGAGCCCTTCCGCCCACATATTCATCATAATACTGATGTTAACCCTAGTCTTTGCCCATGTTATACGTAGTTTTTTCTAAATCTCGTAATGTTCTTCATTGCTCCTCATTGTCCCTTCTAAAGGTTTATGCAAACTTACATTCCAACCAAAGGCATCCGGATACTGGATAGTTCATTTTGAGGCTGTTGAAGGTAAATTTGCTCCATGATGTTGATTTGTTTTTCAAAAGATGATTTTATGTTTGGTCATGACCATTTTCTTTCTCCTTGAATTTTTAGTAACCGAGGGTCCTCCTTTAGAGGTTTGTTTACAGTATACGTATGTCTTTATCTTGAATTTATAATCCTTAATGACAGGATTAAGTTTTATATCGTGTGAATAACGCTTACAAACCTTGGGATTATGTTTAAAATTGTGTGGCAAAATTTTTAATTGCGTAAGTGTAGATTCGAATTTTTCATTCACGGGCTCCATGAGACTTGGATATTTGTGTGTGAATGATCTCAATGTGGAAGAATGAAAGATAGCAAGAGCACGTCGTCGTCGTCAAAGCGATCGTTTCCATCCAATCAGAAGCGTTTCTCACCCCAAAATAGCCAGGATGATTCATTGGATATTGATCCTGCGGAAATTGAAAGGCAATTTCAAGAACGTTTGGCAAAAGAAGCAAACAGTAAGAATGGAACGGACAGCGTCGATGGAGGAATGGTACGAGTCATTCGGGTACCTGTTCAACAAGAAAACTGGGAAAAGCCGGTTGACGATAAACCGCGCGCCCGCGTAGACTGGCAACGATCAGAAGAGGAGAAAAACCGCAGGGAACAACAATGGCGTCGTGAAGCAGATGAGCAACTTGTTCGTGATTTTCAGCAAAACGAATCTTTTAGACAAAGTGTGAGCACTGTTGCCGAGCCTGTACATGTGAATCAAGCAGACTGGGAGAAAGAGGAAGAACTTCGGAGACAACGAGAAGAAGACGACCGTCTCCGAGAAGCAAGAGCCAATCAGCTGCGAAATCGTATTATTGAAGGTCCTGACGATGATGGTCTTGATTCGTCGTACACCAACGGACGAACCCGTCGTGTGAAGTTCGCCAGTGTTCGCACCGAAATCGTCCAACCATCGCCTGACGCTGAGCTCGCAACATCTGGAGTGAAATTTGTTCACGATGGCAAGGTTGAAGATAGTGATGATGACGGTAGTGAAGAATTTCCTTTGCCTCCACCTCCCGCGGATAAAGACAACAATTTCTCGCCCCTACCTCAAAATCAGGTTGACTACTACCAGAGACCCCCACCTCCACCCAAGCCTCAATTTTTGGTCAACAATGGCAGTGGCCCTCCAGCGGAATATAAAGGCGCTCCTAACTCGACAGTCTACAGAGACAATGGTCATGTAGTCCGCGCCCGGGATAGAATGAGTGATAATGGGTATGCGACTTACCCAGGTCCTGCTCGCCTGCAGAATAACAACATTCAGCCAGTACCTAAACCTAGAAGTTTGTCCAACGACGTGGGGAAATCCCCAAATCCAGAAACCTCTTTCAAAGACAAAGTGAAAATGCTAAATGAAAATCTGGCTATCAAGCGACCCGATGGATCACAAATGGCACAAAACTGGATCAACAGGGACTCCTTATGAAAATGACATTATAGTTAAGTTTTTATCAAGAGTCGTATTTGTTGACATTTCTCTTTAGAATTATCATTACAGTGGCTTGGTGTCTGATATTGCGCAACATTGAAAAATATCTGGTGGAACAGTGATGTTTTAGTGAAGACTGATTCGGTCTTCCCATGACATTACACCAGAAATCCAAAGCACTATCCGCTTTCTGATAACAAATCATTCATTTTATTCTTATTGATTCTGTATTTGATCAAACGTTCAATTAGTAACAATTTTATTGCTATCTCTTTAGAAACAACTGAAGGCTCACAAATTTCCATAAACTTTTTCAATGAAGTCTATGAACAACTCGAAAATGTTCACCAAAACATCGTCGTTTTTTTCACTGAAAAACAACGTCATCTTCTAGTAATTATTAACTTTTTAAAACATCTCGAAAAATGCAGAGAATTGATATTTTTACTTCATTTGACAGAAAGGTTTAAAGGAATAGATTTAGCTATAAGAAATCCAACTTTGATTATTTCTATTAATGTTATACATAACACGTATAGTTGAAAAGGTCTTCATACATGAGGTTCGTACGAAATAAACATTGTATCTTGCAAGCCTTTTTATATGAAGTTCCATCGTAGGGAAATATTTAGGCTTTTATTGTAACCAGTAGTTAGCACAAATCGATTTTTTGAACTTTTTCTTAAGTATAAACGTTAGGGACATAAAAATACAAGTCAGCCAATCGTTTCGATGGACTTCTTGCGTCAGGAAAAGTTTGGAAACAATTATTTACTTGTTTGCCCCATTTATGTAAGACAAAATGTTACATCGAAGTAAGGAGGATGTGTAAAGAAAACTGACGTTGTTTTTTTGAAACTTGGCTGACATGCATTATATCGATAATATATCATACACGAACAATGAGAATTGTATATAGTTTATATACGTGTATATTGTAATAACAAGAGTATTTCTTTTGACCAAACATCGTTGTGTTCATTTTTTTAAAGCAAGGGACAGATCAGTGATTACCGTATAAGATCCTGTGGCCTGTTAAAAATTGTAACGGTTCAAGGAAAGGCGTTTATTCGACTCAGGTGTTTAGTAGAGAGAAAGAAGTTTGTATTTGTATATCACCTTAAACGTGAAAGAAAATTAAGATTTGTTTATTGAGATTAGATAATGAAGAGTTTTAAATACAAGAATTTTGACAATTCACACGCAGTTGCGAAATCAGCCTGTTTTTCTTCTACTATTGAAATATCTATGTTGGTATTCAATTAGTGAAAAAACACTAGACTTTTTGACGTTAGAGACTTTTTGTTTGCGACAAAGTCTCTCCGATAGTTTTACCAAGGGTAGATAAAAGAAGGGGGGGTGGGGTGAAATGTCTTAAGTCGGTCATTAAAAGATAGAAGGTTAAGTGGCGGGCTTTTTCCATCAAATATTGATTCCAAAATGTCGACAGTCCGGCTTCCATGCCCCAAATTCTTTGAAATATGCGCCGCTTGCCAAACGCATAAGTTGCAACACAAACAATCCCTTATTAACCTTTTAAGCTCATGATCAGAAACTCCAGATTTGGGCATCAAAGTTTGGCAGGTTTAAAACTACCTTGAAGAGTTTCGCCTGCGCTGTAGTAAATTTCCGTGACGTCACAGATTTTCGCCAAATTTCATGATCTTGTTTGTTCAACATTCTTTTGTTATTGATGTAAAGAACAATATTGAACGAAGTAAATTCATCTTCATATCATCATTGAACGTGTCAACTTCGACGTATTTTTAAATTCATCATATGAATTTCAAATAAAACTAGATGTTAGACCATACGAAATTTGAAAATTGTTAAATTGAAATCCATACATGAATTTTGGCACTATAATCTGCATGTATTTTTTCTTCAGCATAATTTATTTGTATTTGTTCATCGATATCAGCCACCTATTTGTTGAAGGCTATGGTTGGATATTATGCTGCTCATTTGATGCAAGTAGAAAGAAATTTGTTGAAGCCTTACCTAACAATATACTTTTAGATCCTCAGAAAGGTATGTAGAATAGATATTAAGCCTGCTTTCCACCAGCCACGTATCGTAACGTATCTTAGCAAAACGTAACATGGCGCATGCGTGCTTATGAATTTGATGGTCAATATGCACAAGCACGCATGCGCCATTTTACGTTTTGCTACAATACGTTACGATACGTGGCTCGTGGAGAACAGGCTTAACTGAAATGAAATGATTAAAACAGGCCAAACAACATTTTTGTACTTGTCAGATATACCAAATCCCAGTTGCATACACATATTAGCAA